AACTGTGCTGAGCATTCCTTTCTTTAACTATGCAGTATGTATGTATAAATGGATGGCGGTATGAATGAATGTATTTTTTTTTCCTTTCTATATTTGTGTTACTCATCAACAGATAAATCTATTGGTTGTTAGAAAACTACAATCACTGCTGGTTTTCTTACAAACTCAGCTTGTAGCAGACCTGAGTGACGTCATGGACGCTGTGATCGGGACACCTATGATCCCGGCGCACTTATATTGGTCAGTTGAGAATCCAAGCTTGCATGTCTTTGAAACTGTTAGCTGTGGAACAAGAAGGAATTCAATTCTGTACCTCCTGTATGCAAAGTGCCTTTATTATTATTATTATTATTATTATTATTATTATTATTATTTGTGTTTTGCATGCAGCTGCAGCTGTTGTGAAAGCACTATAGACTATATAAATAAAGTTGAGTTGAGTTGGATGGTTGGTTGGATGGGCTGATAAACAGGAAAAGCCTACTAGAACTTTCTATTGAGGTTAGTTAATTAGAGGCACTTTAAATGGCGGCTGATGTGCACTGACTCCCACTTAATGTGAGTTTGAATATGATTCATTTTGAACACAGCCGCATTCCAAATTATATAATGATGTACACACTTTTGCAACCACATTACCATAGTTGCTTATTTTTACTTGCCTACATGATGAGGGGGGGTTCAATCCAGAAATATGGATTATAGGTCATATTAATTGTGGAAAATGTTTTGAAATTATCCATCTTGGTCTCTTTTATTTTATACCACAAAAACATTCAAATAGGGGTGTGTAGACTTTTAGATCCACTATGGATAGATGAAAAAAAAAAAAAGTTAAACTTGCAGCCAATGTTATCATGTTAATTCTAGTATGATGCTCATGCTCATTTTTCCCATGTGTCTTTTGGGAGGCATTTTAATCATCTTTGTCAGGATCCTTCTCGTCTGGAAATGGAGCAAAAAAGGATGGCGGGAATTCACATGACAAAATCCACTTGTGTAGAGACGACGTCTCTATCACTGTTATCGGGCTTTGCGAAGCTGTCGTCGAATGTTAATCTCTGGCTTTAAATGTGACATTTCGAGGGAAAGTTGGTTAATCCTTTCATTAAAAAAAAAAAAAAAAAAAAAAGTGTGCGAGTATAAATCACATATCCCTCACTGCTCTCCAAACATTTTGGCTCCTTTTCTCTCCTTGGCTCTAAAAGATTAGTCATCATAAAGGTGTTTGGAATTTAAATAATTGGGAGATTTAAACTGCCAAAATGTCAGAGATGTTGATTTGTGTTCTGAAGCAAAATCACAAGGATTGTCCATAATTATCCTATGTATGTGCGACGATTTTATCAGGCCCATCCACTCAAATATTAAATTCGACTGAGATATTTGCGAGTTAACCAATACAAGGTGTACAAAATGACCAGCACAGCGAATAATGAACTCTCAAATTACACAACGGGGCCCCAAGTGGCTCAGGGTCCTTGTGGTCCTTCATTCAATAACATCTCAATAAGACAGGCCAAGCCTCCTCCAGTTTGTCTACTCTTGAATTGAAATACCCATGCAATGCATACAAATGGCAAGTGAAATATAATGAAACACAATATCATCATGTGCAATGACAAAAAAAACAAACAAACATACAAAACAAGAACATACCTGCTACTCTTCCGTGGCAGTGGAAGATCCTTCTGGCAACAAAGAGAAAAAAGGATGCACATTAGACTTGCCACACATACATAAAAAAAAATGCTACTGGCGACATGGGCATGATTGAAAATTTTACGTGTGCTAATGAGTGCATAAAAATACTGCATTCATTTATTCAAAAAGAGCAGCAGCTCATTTACAGACTTGAAGCGGTTTCAAGCAATTATCGCAACATAATTACCATACCGAATCTCTGGCTTTAAATGTGACATTTCGAGGGAAAGTTGGTTAATCCTTTCATTAAAAAAAAAAAAAAAAAAAAAGTGTGCGAGTATAAATCACATATCCCTCACTGCTCTCCAAACATTTTGGCTCCTTTTCTCTCCTTGGCTCTAAAAGATTAGTCATCATAAAGGTGTTTGGAATTTAAATAATTGGGAGATTTAAACTGCCAAAATGTCAGAGATGTTGATTTGTGTTCTGAAGCAAAATCACAAGGATTGTCCATAATTATCCTATGTATGTGCGACGATTTTATCAGGCCCATCCACTCAAATATTAAATTCGACTGAGATATTTGCGAGTTAACCAATACAAGGTGTACAAAATGACCAGCACAGCGAATAATGAACTCTCAAATTACACAACGGGGCCCCAAGTGGCTCAGGGTCCTTGTGGTCCTTCATTCAATAACATCTCAATAAGACAGGCCAAGCCTCCTCCAGTTTGTCTACTCTTGAATTGAAATACCCATGCAATGCATACAAATGGCAAGTGAAATATAATGAAACACAATATCATCATGTGCAATGACAAAAAAAACAAACAAACATACAAAACAAGAACATACCTGCTACTCTTCCGTGGCAGTGGAAGATCCTTCTGGCAACAAAGAGAAAAAAGGATGCACATTAGACTTGCCACACATACATAAAAAAAAATGCTACTGGCGACATGGGCATGATTGAAAATTTTACGTGTGCTAATGAGTGCATAAAAATACTGCATTCATTTATTCAAAAAGAGCAGCAGCTCATTTACAGACTTGAAGCGGTTTCAAGCAATTATCGCAACATAATTACCATACCGTATAGCCTAATATTTAACTTTTTGAAAAATGAGTTTCTCATTGGAACTTTTTTTTTTTTTTTACATGAAAGTGTTCACCTTTAAACTAAAATAGTGCATGTGCTCAATGGAATACATACTGTAGGGCTAAAGCCTATCCCAGCTGACTTCCTGGTCACCAGCCAATCACAGGACACACAGACAAACAACTATTCACAGTCAATTCCACAGCTATGGACATTTTTTTTTAATTAAACTAAACATGCCTGGTTTGGAATCCAGGAGGCAGACTGATGTCTCATTGTTTATGTTCTCAGTTTTCACTCTTAAATGTTTTCAGGTGTGCTTATATTTTATAGAAATTTTTTCATCTCTCTTTCAAGCTTTACTTCCTGCCCTGATGTCTCTCCATCAAATTATTGCGATTGTCTCCACCCCCATCTGAATTGTTCATGTGTATGGAGGTATCCCTGAATTGACTCACACAACTCATGAGTTGTGTATCGCAGTTGTTTATTTTTACATCCACACTCTCAAATATACGGTTAATAAGTCACGCTAATGGTGGATAAGGTATTGAAATGATTAGGATTGATCTTGGTCTCATTTTTATACATCACAAAAACAGCAATTCATCAGGGATGTGTAGATTTTTATATCCACTGTAGGGGGCAACCTATACTCATGACACAGTCGAACTACATAAAGTATTATAGAATGGCAAACTTACTATATGGTGAGCCCTCATTTATCGCGGTGGTTACATTCCAAAAAGAACCGCGGTAAGTGAAATGGAGTAAGTAGTCATCTTCAGTTTTTTACAATTACTTCGTGTGTGTGTGTGTGTGTGTGTGTGTGTGTGTGTGTGT